ATTTCTTTTTTATTTTTAATTCTATTTAGCAGTTGATAATGGTGCCGTAAGGTACCGAAACGTCCTGCTTTTGTATTTTGTATTTTAGCCTTGTTTCCGCATTTTCCTGTGTTTTCGATTGTCGTTTCCGTTTCGGGCTGATTTTACATTCTCTTTGTTTTCCACTAATGTATTAAATAAATAATGCAATTAATCGTCAAATGCTTTGTGGAATACGTTGAGGAAGAGGAGAAAGGATTTGGGCATAATGAACGGTTTGAAAGTGGGTCAAAATTGCTTCACAATACATTATACAGCTGCTGGTATAAACCGAGAGTGACAGTTGAGAGGCCAACGGAATAGGAGTGTGAATTGGGTTATCAAATCCAGCTTCATGGTGTGACTTTGAGCACCTTCGTTCGCCAAGGCCCCCTCACTTTTACCAATTCCTTCCCTACCTCATAATTCTATGCAGTTAGTTTCCAGCTTGAACGTCATGTTACCAAGTGGTACATCTGAATGCCACCAACAATTGAACATCATTGTTGCCACTTAGCAATCAGTAATTTTTCAATAGATTTACGTTGGCGAAATTTTGACTTCCGTGTTACGACAGAGCGCAAATACAAAGGTTCTTGACACCACGGAAGCAGACATATTGACAGCTCTTTCTTTTTCCGTGCTCTATTGCCTTCAGATTGTTATTTGCTTGCTATTGGTGGGGATGATCGTTGGGAGGAGGAGAGTGTCTGCAGGGGAAAATGACCGCATTGCAATATCATGTCAAGGTTTTCATCTTTTCTCGCCTCTTAAAAAAGATTTAACACAGTTTGGAAGTTATGAAGGCAGATCAGTTTTGCTACACCTATTCGGTTTCATTCCTGTTGTATAGTTGCACATCAATTAGAGCACCAACAACATCGTCTTGCGCTCTGCCCAGTCCGCCTTCAACACGTCGATTAGGCAATATGAGCGGCTCATGAGCAGTTAATAGTTGCTTGCACCAGTTTTGCCACATTCATTTGGTTTCGTTCTATTTTTAATCGAACGAATTCGAAGGAAATGCACCAAGTCACATCAAGTTTGTATGCGGAACCAGGCCCATCGCGGTATTGTTTCCATCGTGTCCACACAACATTTCCTGCCGGCCCATCACATGTGAACCTAGCTGTGACTCTGTCAGCGGATAAAAATTTCGCGTCCAACTCTTTTTATACTTGTGAAAAAACCCTTAATTACCACGAATTTACACTCAATCATAAGTAAGCAAGTATATGGATATGTAAATGTGTCACAAAACTCGCTGATCTTATTTTAAAAGCGCTGAAAAGATGTGCAAGTTTTGTCATTCCATAAACCAGAATCCACTTACTCATAATCATAAATATTCATTTTTAGGATATCAAGCTGGATTCAAATCCAAGGATATGAGGGAATTTTTAAACAAATGATAAAAAAAAAGTTGGTCGAAAAATGTTTTCCTGAGCTGCGGCAAGACTTCCATGTTGACAAAATACGGACCAGCAAGGAATGTTGTGTGGAACTACTGCTCTCTACCTGGTGGGCCTGGCCCTGGGCTAATTTATCCCATTCTGTATAATTTAATTGCACAGATTATAAGAACATCGTCTCGCGTTCAGATCAATTCACCTTCAACTATTTGATTATGCAATATGAGCGACTCGGGAGCGGCAATAGTTGTCACAACACTTTTGCCACATTCATTCGATATGGCTCTAGTTGTTGTCGCACATTCATGACAGCACTGACAACCTCATCTTGCGTGCTGATTAGTTCGCCTTCAATAACTTGATTAGGCAATATGAGCGGCTTTGGAGTAGCAATAGTTGCTTGTGACAGCTTTTCTAGATTTATCCGATTTTGCCTCTGTAGCAGCCGGATATTAATGGAGCAAGATTTTTAGTAAGATTTAGAATACGAGACACGTTGAAGTAAATCTACGAAAATTTCTAAAGTTAAGTAAACCGAGAGAAATTAATTTTTGTAGTTCATATTAAGGCTAAAAAGAAGAGACAAACCTCTTGTTGCTCAGCCACAAATTTCTTCTTCTTTTGAACGAACAGCATTACAACAGACGCGGGCCAACGCATTGAATTGTATTTCATCCAGCTAATGTCTTTGGGGCTTGACTCGATTTCCGAGATAATGCCATACGATAAAACACGATGGAATACATTTGAAAAGGAACCACGGGGTAACCTCTATTTGAGAGGACCCACGAGTCATTTCAATGGTAGTGTTTGAGTTTACCATGACAAAAAATTATTCTCCTACATGCATTCGAACGCGCGAACAGTGTTTTTTTCTCGATAGGATAGTAGTTATTCGCACACGCAATTTTCATCATCACAATAATAGATAATCACTCAATCCTTAAGAAGTCCGAAACAATAAGCTTCACTCTTGTACATTTCACTGACACATTGAGACATTTCAGTATTTTTATTGAAGTATTGGGGAAATGCGCTCTACCACTGTCGTAACTCTTCACTTTAACTATGTTTTTCTTTCGGTATTTATTGATTTGTAATTAATTATGATGCTATTAATTTAAAGTTTGCAGATCTTGATAAGAATTTAGTGGTGCACAAAGCCTCGAACTGGTAAATATATGACTCTCATCGTGATAATTGCTCAAAGTATTTCCAAGTAAGTATTTCTAGTTTATAAAACTGCTACATCAAATTCTATTTACTCCAAACTGCACAAGCCATTTACAAACTCTGCCCAGCATCGTTGGGTTAGATTCGCCTTCCGGAAAAGTTTTAAGAACACTTTCCTCAATCTTGCAGTAATCCGTGGATCCTTATTTTGATCGTTTTAACTATTACATAATGCATTCGGATTATCTATGAATTGTGGACACACTAAATACCTCGATTTCCTTAGCGTGATATAACTGCATAACTTCAGCGTGAAGTCAAATGACAAGTTATGGTTCATGTTTAGAATTAATGGACTGATACTGTCTTTAACGTTACGCTTCATACACAGAGGTCACTGTTCATGAACAAAGTATTGTAAATTATCCCATATCGGGCCAGAGTTGTTAAACCATTTAACTTGTTTTTTCAAAAAAAAAACTTCATTTTAAACAGTGCGGAGAAAGTCTCAATTCTTACGATTGCATTTGTCGATTAATTGAGCCTAATTTTGTTTAATCTATAGACGATTCCAGAAATCATCATCGAAGGAAGTAAATTTCAAAAACCACCGATCGGAAATCACCAATTTAAGTAAACTTCAGTTTTCGGAAATGAGGAGCATTTTTGAGTAACCGAGGAATAATTTCATATTGTATTTTAATTAATTGTAAATAAGTTTCGATAAGATGCTCGAGTTGAGAATCAGCCCAAAATAGTGTTAAACATTAATTTAATGGGGTTTCAGCTGGCTATGTTGCCAAGTTTGATGCTATTTTCAAATTATAACGTGCGTAGGTACAACAATACCAGTCGTATCCATAATATTTTACAGTGATGGTGTCGTCATATTAAAAAAATGCCGAGCCACATGTAACCTGAAGCTCCGTTCATATGAAGTTCCCTCTCTGTAACTCATTTAATATAAGGGAGGACGACGGTACAGATCGAGAAATAAACAAATGAAGCTATGAACAAAGGAGTGACATTGATCCTATCTATGAGTGAACCTAACCTAGGCGAAGGTCGCGCCGTGTGAAAAATAAGCGCAGAAAATTCATAGGCGTCCGTAAATGGGCGGGGAAGGATGCGCGGCCACACATGCACATATGCGCGAGCGAACAGAGATGGCGTCAATACGGAACCGGATATCAGACTGCTTATTGTTTCCGTTTCTGCGGGACGAATGAGACTGCCGGGCAAAGGGGGGGGGGGGCATGAGACACGGTAACTGTCTCTTGCCGCTCCGAGGCCCAGGGGCTCCAGGGTCTCGCAGATAGGGATCGCCTGGTCGGATCACGAATCATAGTTACGAGTCCTGCTAATCGTATTTTCTCCCGCTGCTCGACACGTTGCTCCGCAGGAAAGCGAAAGTTTACGGAAAATTGATTCGTCTGCTACGCGCTGCGGTTGGGGACACGATCGGCGAGTAGCGCAACGGCCGCGGACTAACGTTCCCGAGAACGATCCAAAAGCTGCCGGCCGGTGGGCTGGTGGTTGGAATTGATAGACAAAGCTATAGACAGAGAATACAAAAGGGATATGGAGAGATCCTATTTATGGAGGCAGGTGCGTCGCAATGGACAAAGGAGATAGGTAATGGACTAATTGGCGGCAACTCACGAGGGAACCTGTAGTTATAGTCAATAATTTTCTCCCTTAGTCTATAAGAACCAACCATTTCAACCTCCATACTCCCATAGGACCCCTCCATACTCCCTATAACTTTTTCGTCTATCGCTTTGCCTTCCGCTTTGTCTATCAATTTCAAAAATCAACCCGATGGTTGCCCTAGTGGTCAGGGCATCTGGCTATAAGATAATAGGTCCTGGGATCGAGTCCCAGTTTTCAAGGGACTGACGATAGTGGGTCTGCTGAAACGTATGCCACTCGGCCTGAATCCCTTCAAATTTGATAATGCTAGAGCTCGAATGTGCACGAACATACTAACCATAAGTTCGCCAAGGTTGCAGAATCCTCGAAGGAGTGAAGCCTCCAAAATCGTGACGTATCAAAGTGATTGACCAATCATTTGATGCAAACGATCAGGCTTTTAATATTTAATCATTCTTTGTGGAAATAACGTATGTGCCTTGCAGTTCTGCTTAGATAGCGCAACTTGAGGCCTATAATGCGTTCGGTTGCATTTAAGGCCCTACTACAACCCCCCTTGATTCTGAGTTAATTGTGCGAACGCACGGCAAGCAGTTACCGACGCGACGCGACGCGCAACTATTCGAACGCTTCGGAAGTGTTCTTGCCTACTCTGTTTCTTGAAGGAGACTTGTACGACGGCACAGTTTCATTTCCACACTGGCACTCGGAATGATGTAATAAAAGTGAATAGCTGATACTTACCCCATCAGATTTCAGTCTTATTTCTTTGCCGGCAGCTGCCAACAATATCCTGAGAATGCTTGTAGCGGTGCCTGTTTGCCGGCATGCAACCAGATGGACAGCAGTTTGTTGTTTTGCCTGAAATATTGAAACAGCTAGATTTTAGAATATTCTCAGGAATCAATCGTAAGATTGGGTTCTATTTAAAAACTAAATTTGCATTTCAACTGATTCTCGTGCTAATAGCACCCGCAATAATGCTCTTGTTTGGTTAACATTTTTATTTATTTCCTCGTCAAGCAGGTTTAAGTTTATGTTCAAGAAATTAGGTAAAAATCTCAATAGATAATATTTCAAACTTGTGCGCACGATAGTTCATTTCACAAGTCATCAAAGAGGAAAACGAGTTAGCACACACGGAAAGATTTCTATCGTTAAGAGTTCGAACCTCAAAAAATTCAAATTTTAACAAAATTTTCCGAGAGAAGCTTAATGCGGACATACTTACTCCACCCGGCGCCAGAATGTCAATCCCTTTCTTGTTCAAAACCAGCTTCACCACGTCCTCTCTTGAAAACATGGCAGCAATATGTAACGCGTTGTAGTTTTCCTGTGGAGTAAATGAAAGTAAGTTACGGCTTTAGTTATTTTCCAAATTGATGCATAATTAACAAGAGATGTTAAAAATATTAAGTAAGTACTACACAACTTGTTATCATTGATTACATAATTGTGTAAATTGATGCATAATTAACAAGAGATGTTAAAAATATTAAGTAAGTACTACACAACTTGTTATCATCGCCAAAGTACGATGAATAAGACAGAATGTGTTCATGCAATCCTGTTCTATTGGAAAATGACTATGTAAACTAAATGAAAATGTAGATTATGTAAAAATAGTCTTGTGCTCGAACGGAATTTTTGCCTCACCCGATTAAATTGCTTCGTTTGTGGGGCAGGGGGTGGGGCTACTCGGTCTTTATATGCGATTTTCATTTTCACAAATCCAAATATCATGGATGAATCAAGTGTCAGGTGTTAATAAATTCTAGACACCCAAGCCGACGAAAAATGTATGAGATTGAGGATGTTCACTTGTTGTATCATTATTTTTTTCCTATCTCTGTGAGTAGTAATATCCATCTCCATCGTATACTTCAATACCTCAATTAAATAATGTTTCATTTTATTTTTTAAATTTCTATAGTTAATGTATTAATTGTGATTATAACTTGAGGATACCAACCAGAGCGAGTAGAGGTATTATTTTTTATAATTATTATCAGTGTTCGAAACACACAGCCGCCAACGCGCCAAATGCGCCTAAAAAATCGGTCATGGCGCCTAAAAAATGAAGGCTCTGCGCCAACGTGGCCCCTAAAAATTGCCCCCTAAAAATCTGAATTTTCATATTCAGTGATTATTCGAAATTTGCAGCACCACAAGTGAAAGCTTTTTCTATTCTTCACGATTTCATCATTTGTGCTTTTGTCTTTCCCAAGTCACAACTACTTACTAGTTCCGTTACGAAAACATCTTGCGTCTAACTTTTCACTAAATGCGCCGTAATATGTAGGCAAAAAGTCAATTTGGCCCCTTAAAAATCGGACTTGATGCGCCACATGGCTCCTAAAACTCAAAGGTGAGTTTCGAACACTGATTATTATAACCTATCGTCTCTACATTTTATTATTAGTTCAACGCTCTCTGAGCATGAGTGAAAACTTGACTTCAAACCAAAATATTTTTAGTAAAAGTAACCCGGGTGGAAGTGCATCTACCTTTTGGAACGACCATTGCGGCCATTGATTCTGAGAGGAGTGAAGGTGAGGTATGAACAAACGCGAGCGCTGATAATGTCAGCGATAACAGTGGATGTATAAAACGCCTGACAACAACGGATTATGCCACCGCGCGACACGAGTGCTTCTGTTTTAGTCTGCTCCAAGGAGTCCTCAGGTGAAAATGTCCCCAGACATGCAAGCAATTATGCAGTTTGCTCATGACGCTGTTGTTTATGTACACACTATTTATCTCCCCACGATGGTCAACACGTTACGAAGATTCAAATGACCACAATGTGCGTATGAGTGGAAAACGTGACATACGACCTACACAACATTTTGTTTTTGTTTTTAATTTTTTTTAAAATCATAAATCTACGAAATATTAAAGATTTTATCAATATCTACAAAACTACGCAAGAATTGTTTAAAAAAATCGCAAATATTCGAATGAACATAAAATTACGTGTGTTAAATATGAATGAATATGATTACGTTGAATGAATAAGAAACAGGAGGTATACTCGAATAGTATTTACGTCGAAAGCCAGGTTTTCATTATCATAACGGGGAATATCATTTTCAGAAAGAAGATGAAAATTAATGAGCTCATTACTTTTTCGGCGGAGTTATTTAAAATTATGTATTAGAGGCTTGACGAAGAATGGAAAATCGAATGGTGAAGAGATCTTTAGTTCTCCTGTTCGCACGGTTGCTTCGTAAGTTTTTAACATTTGTCATCGAAAGCTAATTTTCAAACAATATCAACTTAAGATGAGAAACATTTAAACTACGAGCCTATAGACTTCCTATCGTATAAAAGAAGAAAACAAATTAAAATTAAAATGTGCAGGAGTCAGGCCAACTGTGCCTTAAGGGGAGACTCAAATTGTTCAGTGCAGCGAGCACACTTGTTTGGGGGAGACATCAGTTTTAAAAATTCCTTATATTTTTCCTCAGAACATTGGTTCCAAGTTTCAAATCATTAATTGCATATTAATGGGCAAGGGAAATGAACCGTTCTTAAGTCTGGCAGCAATGCTGACAAAATGTAACAGCCGGATTCCACGTTTTTCGTCTTCAAAATTTGCATTGCGCAAAGGGATTAATTTTTGGAACTTCTTTGCGGGAAACGATACAGAACTATCCCTCCAGGCTAAGGAATAGTTTTTTCTTTTTTATTCTCTCTTCTGAAGGCACATTTTGCCTAACTCCGTGACAAATCTCCGTTGGATTTCTTCTTGTTTAGTAATTAGCAGATAAGCAATAATTTAAGGTCCTTACAATATTCTTAATATCTAATGTTTCCGTCAGGAAAACGAAACAGTAATTACTAAGAAACTATATAAAAAACCTGAGATAGAAACGAGCTCGTGTTATGTAAATTGTGAATCCGCCATTATGACTTTCTCAGCACGGCAGATCCCTTGAACACCGCACGCTTATTACCATTGCTATTAAGCCTCTCTTGATACTATTTTTGGCCCAAAATTACACTTAGGTGACCTTGGAATTGTCGCGCTTTTATACGGTGACGAAATTATCATTTCAAGTTCTCACTCCTCCAGTCAAAGGAACTTGCTCTACCCTACCTTCTCTTCCTCTCTTCGTTTTTGCGAGCTGTGACCGAGACCAAACGGAAGAGGAACCGGGGGGAAAGAGATTTGTTCTAATGTCCTGTGTGAAATATAGCTGAAGGCCAACCACGTAGATTAGGGGCACGGTGGTCGATTATGAGAAAATTAGACTCTTCTCTCCTCTTGAAATAACTTGGGTACCACGCTCAAGTATGAATGAGAGTTTTACTTCATGCATACCAAAGCGTAGAAGAATCAACCCCGATGGATTGTCACACAAAAGATGTATTGCCCTGGATAGACGATCAAATTCCGATCAAAGTAGACATGCTGATGACTGGTGGTCACCATCTACCATCAAATTTTGACGGGCCGCACTTTTTTGTTCAAAGTTATAAGATCAGAACGGAGTGCCACCATTCATCATTAAATCCTGCCACAGGAAACATTTCTGCCAAGTTTTCATTTATAAATGAAGCAAATTAATGAGTTTGAGACTGATGACTCCCGACACTTTGATGCTACTTTGATCGGAATTGGTTCGGGAATTTGATCGTCTATGCAGGGCTTATGGACATGTTCATGCTGAAATGGACTTCGTGCATAGGGATTGCTTGTCACATAGTTCCTTTTAGCATTAAAACGTCCATATTGATAAACGAATAGATTGTATATGGGTAAAAATTACAAAAAATCCCGATGGGTATTTCAAGATGGTCTGAAATTCAATCTTTAACGCTGCGTTCGCGTAGTCCGGATAACGCATTTTCAAAATTTGCCAGATCCAATAGCACTTTTTCTTAGTCGTTGTCGACCAGGTTTTTTAAAGTGATTATTTGCATATATCGTCGCCTTTCTGACACAAAGGACGTAACTGCACTTCGTGATAAACCCTGTCGTCTATATCACACAATGCTTTCCTGAGCTCATCTCTGAGTGTAGTTACGCTTTTTTGTAAAACAAGCGTCGCGATACAGTGAAAAGCTTCTTTAAAACCGCTTAAATCACATGTGGGCTCATTTCCTCCCGATTTTTGCCACTGAAGCTGAAAATGGCCTCAAAATATTTCCAGTATCTGCCAAATTTTTAGGAAATAAAATTCTAAAAAAATTGCGTTTTTTCCAGCCGGGGAAACTCCTATCTTTGTGAAAACTCGATTCGCGATACCCGAAGAATTTTAAACAAAAAAAAACCTTAGGTCCAATCAAGATACAAGTGCGCATTTATCACGGAACAAAAAGTATCACAATCCCAACTATACTTCTGGCTGATTATGTCGTCAGACATAAGAGTAGTTGCAGCAGTAGGCACGTATGAGTCTGCCAAAACTGTGGTTGGATCAACTATACCTCTGGCAAGTGCAACTTCTCTCATATTTGGCGCCAAAATTAGCCAGGAGTATAGTTGGAATTTTCATACTTTTTTCTGTTTTCTAATCCTCCTGACCGATCACCCAACGCATTCTTTACTGATTAACAACATTCGAACAAAAAACAAAACAAAATTATCGGAACCAAAAATTAAATTAGCTACATTTTAGTCAGATTTTTCCTGATGTGTTAGGTTTATCCATTCATCCGCACTCGCATTACGAGTCGTAAAATAAAGTGCCCTGGTGAAATCGAATCCGGCCGACGAAACTCCCGGTAATTTAAACCGTCTCGGAGTAGGTCATTAGAGCACTGGTAGTCCTTTTCTTCCAGGTTATTCTATAATACGCAATGCTCAACCGGAGCAAGGTCGTAGGACGGGGGTGGAAATGTGGCAGCGGTGTAAGGAGAGTCAACTAAGTTTGCATGTTTATCTTCGAGCGATCTGGATGGAGGGCTGGAAGAAATACGACGTATAGTATCGGCGTTGTGACGGAAGGAAGAAGAATGCTGCCGTGCTAGGGAAAAACGCCGTATGAACATTCGAGTGTTGCCAAATTTCCTTCGATAAAATATCTATTTTTGAGGAAAGCTATGAATATTTTTCCTTGAAATTCTCAGAAACTTTAGGTCAAATTACGAATAAAATTCTCTGAAAAATTGGAAGAAAAATATTTACAAATTTTTCCGAAAATTCGTGATTTACCAAAGGAAATTTGGCAACGTCTGAAGGTTCATAAGGCGTTTCTCCCTAGCAAGGTAGAATGAGGGGGAGCTTTTGGACTTCGCGAGGGTTCGAAAAAAGGAAGGTGTGGCGAAACCCGGTGATCTATTCTCTCTCTCTTTTAATCCCTCTTCGTTCTGCGAATTTTGAAAGTATTTTTTCCCCATGCCATTGAACCCTCGGGCGAATTTTCTTGACCCAGAATTAGAGGCAGTCAAGCCATCATTTTTTCGGGAAATACTGAGCGTGAGTCTTTCACCGGCAGGTTAGTCACGCGTGTCTTCAAATCGTGTGATAATGGTAGAGTCTCTTAAGGTAGCAAGAAATATCAAGATTTGTTCAAACGTGAAGTTTTCACGTCCAGCAGTAACAGAGATACCGTGCTATTAAAAAAACAACTTAAATCGGGACTAAGGCCGCAAATAATAAAAAGAACACATAAAATATAATAAGAAGGCCGGTACGTTTCGCAGGGATCACACCCGCATTTTCAACCGGCAAAACAAAGAAAATTAAAAAGAAGGACACTATGAGCCTCACCGCTGTTATTGTGAGACTCTTTTACCCTGGTAAAAATTGGCGATAAGAGCTGCGTTTCAAAATACCATAGGAATTCTTATAGCCGGCTAAAGAAGGCTACAGAAAATCATATAGCTGGCTGTAGAATGCGGAGAAAATCATACGGCCGGGCTATACGAGGCGATACAAAATTATGCAGTCGGGCTATAGTTCCTATCGCCGGTCTTTACAATTTATCGTCTGGCTGTTGCTTTTTCGCCATCAATTATAAAAGGCTATAAGAAATTGTGTAGAAATTCGTGTGCTTTGGAAATCATTAAGTTTGATACGGAACCACCTTAATATTTTTAAAACACACATTATATTTTCCTTAAATACATATTTTTTTTCATCAATTAAAACGAGAATAATCCATACAGGATGTGCAAGCATTTCAAAATCATGAGTTGAATAACGCTGACTCCGCCAGATTAAATATTAGAGCCTAAAACAAAGCGAAGCGGCGACGCACTGGCGCCTACAAACCTAACAGGGATACTTCACGCATTGCGCAACGCGTGAAGTATCCCGGTTAGGTTTGCAGGCGCCAATGCGCGTTGCGCGCTGGCTGCCCGCCTGCCGCACCGCAGCGTGCCACGGCGCTTGAAGCAACTATTTCACACCAGAGGTATTGCACAGTATCATACGAAACTGAAGGCGCTCTAATATATTAGGAATGGCAGGCATCCATCAAAAGTACGGAGCTTTCCTCGCAAAATAAATCAAGATACTACGGCCCAAAAAGAGAGCAGTATTCCAAAAACTCACCAAGTCCTAGCATCCGTAATTAGTAACGTTTAGCATACACTTTATCGCCTGGCTGTGAGTTGCTTAATCGCCATCGGCTATAAAAGGCTGTAAGAAATTGTGTAGCCGGCTATAGAAGCTATTACAACCGGCCGTAGGTCTATAGTATTTTGGAACACAGATTCTACTGCCAATTTTTACCAGGGTAATTTTCTTTGTTTTGCCGGTTGAAAATGCGGGTGTGATCCCTGCGAAATGTCCCGGGCTTTTTATTTTATTTTATGTGTTCTTTTTATTATTTGCGGCTTTAGTCCCTATGTAAGTTCTTTTTTTGTCAGTCTTTCGGGCCGATTAAGTTTTTTCTTCTATAAGGAACAACTTGAACGACGCACATAATCAGAGAGGTCGGACGTGAGTTTTCTGACTAAAACTGTAAATTTTGATGTTTATTTTGTCAAATTTAAATAATATGGGGTGCTTCCCGAAGAAAATTTTACGAGGAAACCAGTGGAGCCATTTTAAAAACTTCGAAGTTTTGTATAAACGAAACCATAAGCTTGTAAAGTTTCCAAATTTTGTCCGACCTCTCTCATTGACTCGACAAACTGTCCGACATCCCGTTATGATATCCAACTCGGTTAATGAAACTAAAGTTGAAGAAATCATATGGTACACCTGCGGTGACGACGTCATGCACCCTGGTTCTCATTGCGTAGTTTCAGTGGTTATCAACTTTGAACTTTGGACCTTGGCGTTTGACCAGATCTTATACTTTCCTTAACATACAGGGTGATCCAAAAGTCCCTTCCACCCCCTCTAACTTTTTACCTAAGTGAGATAAAGATTTGAAACTTGGGGGATATTCCTAAGTCAAAGGGAGCTACCTTTTGGCCCCCTAAAATTTTCAGAGGGGCCCCCCTTGGGGGGCAACGGCCCCCAAATTTTAATTTTCAAATGGGAAGACCCCCTTTGTGATAGCTCGTTTGAAAGAGCATAAAAAAAGAAAACTTTTCGCGCAAACCCGAAGTCAATATCTCAAACCGTTTCAAAATGGCGGCCGGTTAAAGTTCAAAATGGCCGAAAATTCACACCGGTATTATTTGTCGATGGATTTGCGCGAAAATCGGTAGGTAGGGGTATTTTGACACGAGAAAAACGAATTTGACGTTAGATTTTCAAAAGAACCAAAATTTCCAAAATGGCCGCCGGTTAAAGTTTAAAATGGCCAAAAATTTTCACCTTGGTTTTTTCCTGATGGATTTGCCTAAAACTTGGAATTTGAGAGTATTTTGGCATAAGATAAACAAATTTGAACTTAGATTTACAAAAAAATCAATTTTTGGTCATTTTGAACTTTAACCGGCGGCCATTTTGGGAATTTCGGTTTTTTTGAAAATCTAACGTCAAATTCGTTTTTCTCGTGTCAAAATACCCCTACGTACCGATTTTTGCGCAAATCAATCGACAAATAACCGGTGTGAATTTTCGGCCATTTTGAATTTTAACCGCCCGCCATTTTGAAACGGTTTGAGATATTGACTTCGGGTTTGCGCGAAAAGTTTTCTTTTTTTATGCTCTTTTGAACGAGCTATCACAAAGGGGGTCTTCCCATTTGAAAATTAAAAGTTGGGGGCCGTTGCCCCCCCAAAGGGGGCCCCCCTGAAATTTTTAGAGGGGCCAAAAAGTAGCTACTTTTAACCTAGGAATATCCCCCAAGTTTCAAATCTTTATCTCAATTAGGTAAAAAGTTAGAGGGGGTGGAAGGGACTTTTGGATCACCCTGTATATTAGAGACTGACGTTATATGCGATTCCAAGGCTGAGCTATAAATAGCGGTATCGCTAGATGAGATACAAATGGGTGTCTGCCAATACTAAGCAAAAGTTGAACCTGCCGAAATCATGAGTTTTTACTAAAAAGTTACTACTTCACTGAAAAAGAAAGAATAATTGGATGATCCAACTTACATGATTCCTTGCGTTTACATCACAGCCCAAGTCGACCAGCCGATCGATAAAAGACGATCTGTTTTCTTTGACGGCCATCATGAGGGGAGTCATCCCGGTTTGCTGGAAAAAAGAAGTACATTACACAATTTTTAGGTTGTAAAACTTAAATGTTCCTTTTTTCCAGGATATTTATCCTGGAGACAGCGTTGACTCTAGTTGAGTATCTTATCCAAACTGGCACATGATTATCTAATTCTTGAAAAAAATATCCATCTGTCACATGAATGTGAGGGTGAAAATTTCAGAGTCCGTTGTAGCTTATATGGGTATTTCGGAAAACTGCAAACCTTCAATGGTGAATCCTAAATCTACAGGCTGGCGTAAAGCTAAAAAATGCCAGAGGAAAGCAGGTACAACAAACCTGGTTCAGATTCACCAACAAGAATAAATGGAGGACTTGTTAATTTTCGTTACTGAAGATGTAAGACCTCGCTGATTCATACGAGAAATGAACCTGACTCTCTACGAGGAAAAAGGATATTATAGTTCACCGTGCCAAGATTATTAGTGGAGCAATGTTTGTTGAGTTGGTTCGAGAAACTGGGAATAGAAATTTCGAAATAAAATCTTATCTGGTATCCTAAAGAATGCGTTGCGAACGGTAAAAATCAATTTTGTGTTCATACAGTTGTAAAGTTACATTAAATTATAGTAATTTTGTGTCCTGAACATGGCAAACTAGAATATTACATAGACTTTGCTCAAAACTACGTTTCGTGTTCTCGAAACTTCAAGTTGCTGTATGACGCCGCCTTCATTTCATATTTTTGGACGTTTTTATCCCAGAGTAATCGAAGAAAATGCCTTTATACCTTGGTATTCATGGTTGAATTGTGAGTCATGGAGATACTTGGGCTTTTCCCCCCGTATATAGTCATTTCATTGATCAGATAATACGTCGTTCCCCGTACGAAAGAACGTAACTATATTTCAGTGTTTCGAAATATCCCCTCATATATTGCATTTCTACCAGAGGAATATTCGGCATTTCTAACTGAAAATTTCACTAATTTTCCCCCGGGTCTCATGCAAAAATCAGTAAAATGTTGGACTAAAATTGTACAAGTATACTCTCTAAGAAAATTGAATTTTTTAAGCCAATTTTGCAACCTTGGGACGGAGTTTTGTGCCTTCGTCCATGAAACGACGAATAACAACAAGCCCTGCATCTCTTGGATATTTTGAGATCGTGCAAACAACGTTTCTTTCGACGTTAATTTTCCTTAGCAGAGGAGAAAATTACTAAATTAGGAAACAAGTGCATCGGTCGGCCGCGAAAATTCTCATCGCGGCCAATATTTTCTAAATGGCCAATTATAATTTTAAGCACTAGGGCAGTCGTCTCGATAAGGAGTATAGACCTAGACCTTGGCCGCAGCCTTGCAAATTGGAAGCACCGAGGGGTGAAATCACGCATTCCATGACGTCAAAGCTCAGTCGGGCTTTAGGGCCAATAAAATTCAAATGCGATCGGAATATGGCCCGCGGACATCCGCCTTGACCTTGGTCTTCCGTTCGCAAAAAAGGAATAAGGAGATTAACAAGGAATAACGATTAAAACAGCTATGATGGCGCGATAAACGAACGTGCCTTGGCCAATAAACCAACGACCCCCCCCCCTCCACCCCCCCTAAAGCACCGCAAAAGGCGCCACAGGTGTGCGGTTCACCCGCGGCGAGCACCCTGCAGTCAATGAATCATACTCCAAGTGACCGCACGTATAAAAAATGGGATATTAATATTAATTACGACCAATGCGACACTGCTCGAGGTAGATAACATAAGTTCATGCCTTTACCACTGTTGCTACATTATTCGCAATTGGGGTCTAAAAAATCTATTATTCCGTTACATTGTGTGTATTTACGTTGATTGCAATAAAGAATAAATACACGGAGGAAAAAACATCATGCATGGGACCCGAAGTTGAGATCATATGGATCTCTGAAGTTTTCTGATCACGCATCCGAAAACGAGCTGCCGAAGTTCGGGTCAGACATTGAGGCACTTCGGTATGTACCGGAGTACTTCAGATGTCTGACCCGAACCCTTCGGTATATATCGAAGTAATTCAGATGTCTGACCCGAACTTTGACAGCTAGACCGCAAGTTCTTGTAGATACGTGATCCGAAAACTTCAGAGATCCATATGACCTCAACTTCGGGACCCACGCACGAAGTTTTTTTTCTCCGTGTAAAATGATAGAATTATTTTAATTTTGAGATTTAGCAGTATTACTTAGCACCATACTCAGATGGTGAATGGAAGAAAATTGAGCTTTGAAAGTTCAATGAGCTAGTTACCTGCACTGATGCAAACCGGATTCAGCATCACGGAAAACCCGTTTCCTTCGCACTGAGGATATTATATATGAGAGCTTATGAGAGCAATTAAATACAAGAAACAATTTAACACTCCGTAAATGTTAGGTTGTGACAGCGATAGTTCTCGTATTGTCGTTGTGAAGTGAGTCTTAGACTCTGATGGATTGGGGTTTAAGCTAACTCATCTTTGATACTTGTACCACCATTGGTTTGGAAACCTTTGTTGTCATGACTGAAACTTCAATTGTCGCAATAAATATATTTTTCGGAGAAAAGAGAATCGATATACTTACGATTCTCATAGTGGATTCCGTGCGAGTCCTGTTGACGTTTCTAGTCGTAATAACATTGTTACTTCTGTGGGACAATTGTTTTTGAACAATGCAACATTGTAAGTGAGACCAAAATAAGTGTTGACCAAAATAATTGCTTCATGTTTGCGTTAAATACACATATTTACCCTAAAAAAATCGGCGCTCTGCCTCGTCCTCGATAGGAGCTTTCTTAAAAATCGGCGCTTTGTGTCCTGGCATCGGGTTCGACTAAACGCCCTACTCCTTATTCATCGTGTAAGGATCATGTTAGATCCCTAAAGATCCCTCCTCCTGAAGGTACCGACGTCATTTTATGGATGACCCCTAATTATTTTGTGGAGGAAGGGAACATGGACCAGAGTATTCAGAAAATGCCTATGAGATGATTTGGCATAAGTTAATTTCCACCACTTACAGATGCAAAATCGACTTAGCATTTCCAGAGCACCCCTTTTTTGGCAACATAATTCGCAAATGTTGATCAATGCTACGAGCAAGGGTATTTGTTGTGTTAAATTACCAGAGTGGAAGCACTGAATAATGACTGCATAAATGCAGATTTTCCTTCTTTATTGGCGCGGAAAGGGAGAAGAAACTCCGCAATCCATGACTGCGCGCATGGAATCCACCTCGATGTTTGCTCTAATCAACTTAGGGGTAGTTAACACCGGCCAGCCGATCGAGGGGGCCAGTGGTGCCAGCTCAGCAGGAAACCATGCGCTGCAGAGGAGGTAGAGGGGTGGAATGTTGCATGATGATTTACCCGTTGCCGCCCGGAATCCTAGCAATAAAGAATTCCATCAGGCGCTCCACGCCTTCTTCACTAGAGTGCCGTTATATCGGTCGTTATAGTCACATTTCAATGGAAGATTTAAGGCTCGTGAAATGTGGAAAAATAGAGTATTGAAAAATATTGGAAGTAATTAAGGGGGTTTTATGGCGCCGTTATTGTTCCCGTTCGGTTATCGTTAGTTCTTCCGTTTTGCAATTCTCACTCGGGGCGTAGTTTTTGAGTTATTGCGCATATTGTTTCTAGGTCGACTCTTGTGTGCAAATCCCAGGCCTTCTTCAAAATAATGTATTATACATTCGGGGTGTATTGGAAAAATGGTCAAAAATCCAAAAATTATCAACCGATCCATTAACCATCGAATTGTTGCCCAAAAAGGCTACAGAGCTAGCTTAGAACGAAATCTCAATTTTCAACTCTGTAGGTCGATTTATAAAAGCGTAGCACAACATTTATGAACATTTATTGCACCTCCATTTCAGCTTTCAGAGCAGATGATTGTCAGCGATCGGAACCTTCTGCGCGCGAAAAAAAAACCACAGCGCCTTCATTTACTTCTACATGCAACATAGACAGACATTGAGCAAGAATAGTTGCATCTCAAAGTGAGTACTAAATAATACTGCGTGTCGCGTTTTATTGTAAACAGATGATAGAAACCTTATTCTCCATGTCTTCATGCTGGAGGAACATTTTCGAACCATTTATCATCAGCGGCTCTTTTGAGCAATAGGTGATTAGTGAAGGTAGGTAATAAATCATTGAGCCGTTTAAAATTTACCGCTAAGAGCCCCAAGAATCGCATGAAATGTTTGACTGAATGGCCATTTTTGCACAGGATCGGTTGATAATTTTTGCACACCTGAGAATCACCAAAAGCATGTAAACTACATCGTCCGTGGGAGAAGTCGTTTTAAGGTTACCACTGGGAACCCCCGAGTCGCGTGAAACGCTCGACCGAATAGCCGTTTTGCATCCCTGGGATTCTCCAAAATAACATAAAGTACCTTGTCCCTTCAAGGAGTCATTTTATGTTCATCACTGAGAGGTCTTCGATTCGCTTGAACCGTTCGGCCGAGTGGCCATTTTCACACCCCTGGGATTCTTCAAAAGCACGTAAACTTTGCATCTTCTGCGCAAAGAGTCGTGAATTGTTCACTACTGAGAGACTCAGAATCGCGTGAAATGTTCAGTCGAATGACCGTTTTGGCACTTCTGAGAACCTCCAAAAGCACGTAAAGCTCACCGTCCGCGATTGGAGTAGTTTTATTAAAGTTGCCGGTGAGGGATACCGACCCGTCCGAACGCTCGGCCAAATTGGCGTTTTTGCACATTTGCTCAAGCCATAATCACTTGGAATGTTCGAACCATTCGAACTGTTTTGAACTCATTGGACCAAGAGAGGTAAAACTCCGCACAAAAGTAGTGCAGCGAGGTATCCTTTATTTACGAAAATTTGAAAAAGAACTGCATTTACCTATCAGCTGTCCTTTCAAAAACTTATGGTCGCCCTTGAATCGATAATATCTTAAAATTTTGGGGGGAAATATTAGGTATTCATTAATTTTTATTAATTATATTAATATCATATGTGCCCTTAATTTTATAACGGGAAATGTTTGCTGATGTTCGAATCCATATTCACACGGTGTTTTACCTTAACAAGATAGTATTCGTTCCTTCACGGAGCATATCTTGAGGCAATCATGAGTCCTTGTCCATACGAGCGCGGTTCGCGGAACTCGAGCGTATACGTCCGAGGAACTTGTTATAACTTACCTATAACTTGTTCCTCGAACCCCCCAGTTTGCGGAACTAATTCGCACTAACTGCGGTATCGTCAAGGTCTTATGGAAGTAAGTAAATCTATTATTTTTCTCAAAAACACCACTTAAATGATCCCATTTGGGCGTATTTCTGCCAGATGGAACCAGATACAGATGGGGAAGATGGAATATACTCGTTAGTCGAGGGTCGTAAGAATGAATGGGAATTATATAGCGCCAGTGACGTCAGCTGCGACGAAGCCGCCGCTGAAGTTCCAAGTGAGAGTAATTAACTCATGAGTCTTGTCCACAACGCCTTTATCACGTGCCCATGGCTCACGAGTGCTGCATCAAGTTGGCACATAGCACATTCGATAGAATGTAAAATCTCGTTTTTCCATTTCTCCAAAGGGAATCAAACCCACTTTAACATAGTCTCTTAGGCGGCTTTCTAGAGCACTCTCCATCTATCCTACTCGCACGTAGTTCTGTTTGGCAGAAATACGTCCATTTAACGCATAGTTAACCTAATTCTACGCTGTATAGTTAGTTCGTTAGTTAGTATATTTTAAGACATTCAGCGTCACAGGCTATTAACGTCTTTACAGATAATTTTGAAAATGGGAGTATATACGAAAATTTAGATTTTTAAATTATGAGAGGTGAAGAGTTTAAGAATTTTGGTAATAATATTGGGTTCATCGCATGTACGTGGAGCGAGCAGCTGATCATATTGATTTATATGTATTGATAACGAGTATACATAGAGCCGGCAACTACGTGACGCGTTATGGCCGCGGACGTAAAAAACAACTGTAACTAAAGAAATATATTGACTCCACACTCGCTCGTAAGTTTTATCAGTCATTCCTAGAGGGATTTCCTATCGTATTCAAGGAGCTGAGGGAAAGAGTTGGGAAAGCAGGAAGGAATTACAGGAGGGGTTGAAAAATGCTTACGCCGAGCACGCCGCATGGTTCGTGCTCCCGCTCGTAAAATTAAATAACATTGCGCCGATGTTGACGCAGGCCTTGTCTAATCGCATTCGAATCCTTCGAAACATATTCCTGATGGTTTAAAAGAAGTTCAACCATACCCGGAGCTTCTTAACTAAGTCTTCTTAAAATAGAATCTCCACTTTAGGAGCGTTTCTTAAAATGAGTTCCGTGGGCTTTCAGTGATTGCAATTGGTCCAATGACTGGGTCTCATTAAAAGATCGCAGAGAGCTGTACATTGTACAGGGTTCTTTGGAATTAAATGGTTAGACTGCAAAAGTGTATCTCTGGAGTAGAAAAATAATTTTTTGCTCATAAAATTTCCTCATCCAGATGTGCTCCCAGTCAAAGATACAGCTCCCCCATTTTTTGTGTGAAACCGTTTCCTCTGAATACCTGTAGGCGACCGGCATGAACTTAAACTCATTATTCGTTGGGAAGCCTCTGCCTCATACTCTTAAGCATTGCAACTGCTGCTGCAACTTTATACGTTTACTCTTCATTGCTTCTGCGGAAATTAGGCAACTTGATTACAAAGATTACTGCGGCCGCCCTTCATAATATTAGTAAAATTTTCATTACATTTTTCGAATATGTTTGAACTTTCATACTATGAAAGAGTCGAATGGACCGCGTTCAGCAGAAATAAACCAAGCCACAACAGCTACTGCCAAATTTAACAGAGCGATTCAATTTTTTCACGCGAAAACTTTCTTGCGGATTCTTTTAAAAATTTAAGGAATTTTCTCCGTAATATGCAGAAAATTGACTGAAATTTGCAAAAAAAATCCGCATGTATAAAATTAAATTGCTCACTTAAATTTGGCAATGCTGACGTCGCTTGGATTTTTTCTACTTAACGCGGTCCATATGAGCTTTATGCTTCTAATTCCGTATGAAGAAGATATAGAAATATCCGCACCCCGAAAAGCCCAGCAGCTGGAACCGAATTTTTCGATCTCGGCTGTGACCAGCGACAATTTTAAATTGAAGGTATTTTTGAGCTCTATCTGCCCTAGCTGATCGTATTTTTTCAATGAGATGTTAGTAGACATATGAGAAGAAAAATAAAAAGATATACTTACAGGGTCAAAAACTTGAGCGAGGGGAGTTGGGTTAACGTCATCTCCTCCCGCGGCGACGATTTTCTCGAGGCCCTTGAGGGCCTGGTCCATGGGCGGCCACTCGCCCTTTTGACACAGAGCCAAAATTCGGGCTGCGGCATCTCGCGTCGAGGCCCCTGCGCTTCCCGGCTTAGTAGCTGCCGCATCTGCAACAAAAACACAAAAAATGTCATAATAAGCAATGCGTTAAGTATTCCTGCACTCTTGTAGGGGCTAATTTGCGCCTCGCAACGACCAGTGACCGCACTGTGCGTTAGACGCAATGCGTGAAGTATTCCTGCACTTTCGTAGGCGCCAATATGCGCCTCGCGACGACCAGCGACCGCACTGAATCATCGGGTATAATCAGAGACAAGAGACCCTCCACTGACCTTTTGGCGACAAATTTGATTTTGCGAGATACGAGGGTCGCGTCGTCCAAAAAGTAAATTTGAAGTTCAACATCTCCTAAATTAAGATAGATCAATAAAATGTGTGAACAGCGTCAAAAAGTTACTCCTCTTAGCTTTCTAACGTGGATTATTTAGGACAGGATTGTATTGGAAAGGTGCAAAATCTCTACAATCCCTCGATCCTAGGATTGCAGGCTCGGTGTGCACACTGGTTGGAAATGGTGTGGACCGCGGTATAGGTCCGGTACCGAGATATTACGAATTTTCAATGATAAAAGCGCGCGCTGTTGTGAGAGCGCAATGCGTTAAGTATTCCTGCACTCTTGTAGGGGCTAATTTGCGCCGCGTGACGACCAGTGACCGCACTGTGTGTTAGACGCAATGCGTGAAGTATTCCTGCACTCTCGTAGGCGCCAATATGCGCCTCGCGACGACCAGCGATCGCACTGAGTTTGGCGCAATGCGTGCAGTATTCCTGCAGTCTGGTAGGCGCTAAGTTACGCGCCGACCGTTGACCGCTCTGTATTTGACGATATTAAAGACATTTAACAGCATTACATTTGAGAGAAACTGTAGAAACAGAGAGGAAATAATAAGTTCGAAGAATGGCTGAATAAAATTGATGAAACAGTTCATGCAGAGAGCAAATAAAAATATTCGAATAAATTGTATCGAAAATTAAATGAAAACAAGAATCAGAGGCTAATGCCCAGTAAAGCATTACTCTTTTCAAGCATTACTCTCAAAGAAACCTTTTACATGTTGAAATCCTCAGAAAAATGTTAGATTGACTGGACTATTGCGTGTGAAAATACACAAAAGTTTGATAATAAGAAACTTAAAATTTCACCCCTGACCCGTGTGCCGAATATAGAACTTTAAGTAAAGAGATGAAATTTCATATCGAATGCCCATCACTGAACTTTACTGTTACGAATCTCAGAGTTTGTCTCCGGCTTACAGATATTGAAATAGATTTTGCAACAAAGATAAATTCTAAGTTGCTCCTTCGTGTCTGTTGGAATATGTTTGCTCACTAATCGGCTGGGGTCTCTTCGATTCAGTTTCAAACTATCTTTCGTTGCTCCAACTTTTGCAAGTTGTTGAGAATAATTAGGCGTTGACGACTTAATGTTGTAATTGCACCAATGCATTACACCTTTCAACGATTTTACATCAAGCTCCTTTGAAGTGCAAAAAAGGCCAAATTTATCGAGGTCTCAAAATAATTGAAAGTTCTCTGTCCGGTACAACGTTAGAATTAGTGTTGTCTTTTGCTTTTCAAAAGACAACACTAATTCTAACGTTGCAGTCCTTTTGCTGCTTAACAGCAGTCCTTTTGACTGCTCATGAGTCCGGAATTTTAATAATTTTCACTCGCACCAGAATGATTTTGACACTATGATTACCATAAAAAACCAAGTTATCATCAATATGAATTATTATTAATAGCACCATTGATTTGTTTTATTGGCATGAAAGATATCATTTTTAATATACATAAGTTAAGGGATCAGCATCAGCGGCCACAAACGCCCTGAGAGTGTACCTTGCCTTGGATTTAAAATGGAAGGTCGTTTATTTTTTATGGGGTCATTTCTTTGGATTGAAAATGAGCTAGGGTCAGGGCTGCGCTCAAGTTTAGTAGTTTTTTCATTTTATTCTGTGTCTGGCTTATTGATATCCTCAGGGGCTATGTGGCTCAGGCTCTGAGATCCTCAAGATCCACCGTACTCCACCGTCGCCGGCAGTGAAGTCATTTTGGGTCTTGTGGGTAACCTTTAGCCCCTGTGCTCTTCACCCTCAAAGTAAGGTATTTCCGTCTCTCTCACTGGGGTTACTGAGGTAGGAAGGCGAAGGAGCCAGTGGATACTCTTTTGGTTCTGGAGGGTGCCCCTGCTGCCGACGAGGTTAATTTAAATTTTGCTGAGGAAACAAATGGGTGATTTTTCTGGAATTGATCAATTAAACAAAAAAGAGGGAATTGTAAATACACATATAAAACTCAGTAAAAGTTTCAACGAATATACATTTGCTTTCCTTGTAATATATCAAATATTGCCGGATGAGAGACAACAATCGAGATTGGTTCTCTCTGCACCCAGCGCTTCAATTACAAACACTCAAGAGAAATTTCATCAAAATAATCTTGGCATTAAATCCATCCCTTTCCAGGAGGAAAATGTGACTGTGACAAACTGGTGCACCGTGTCTGTTATAAGACGTCACAGACACCATTACACGCACGTTGCTAAGACCACCCACGTGCTAAGGGACGAAGAAGTGGCTGCTTATTCGGTTCAATGTTAAGACCGAGTCTAATTTACGCGAGGTTAATTGTATATGAGTATTTTGCGTGTTCTCCCCGAGCAGTTTGTAGCCTAGACGGTATGATCGGCTGATCGTTAAACACCAAGGTCTTGACCTAAAACCCCGTCCCCGCTAAGAACTCCTGCAGCCTACGGAGTAGGCCAAATCGGAGTCATTCACCACTCACCAGGCCAATGAAATCTGTGTGGAGACTTCCCTAGTGGTTCTTAAAGTGAACGCGAGTGTCCCGAAAACTCATTTTTCCTAGCTTTGTCTCTGGTGTCTACAAATTGGAGGATAGCATTCTCGTTAACCATTCTCATGTCTATCTCACTGATTATATTTAATCGTATTATACGTTCAAAGTTTGTCTCTGCCCATTTTGAAACGTTCCAAATTCGGTTTCTGAACACACCTGTCTTTTTTAAATAAGTTTCGTTCATGGTATAGAAGTTGAATATTGTGATAAAACATGCAGGCAGACATTGAATGTCTAAGTTAAACGATGGTATAATTCCAAAAAAGAAAAATAGAATGCTAAACAGCCCCATATCGATGGCCAGATTTCGATACTACTTATCTCCGTTTGCGACTTTGCAGAATTACTTTCATACTTTATTTTTTCCATGTAAAAAACTAGTCAATGTACATTCTTGAAAACTTCATTGATTTAGATTCTTCTTTGTTAGCAGAACATTAAAAGCAATGAAGTAGACTTGTTTTTCTTCGAAGAATGAAATAGGAGCGCAAATTTTGAAACTACGTGATGGCGATACGTACTATTCGACTTTGACCTTCGATATACAGGGCTTAAACCGCTCTTTTATAAAATAAACACCAAATCTAGAAAACCTTAAACTGATTTGTCCGTCTTGTCAAAAAGAATTTCATGACGCCATAGAAGCACGACACACATCTGCTTCCAGGATAAACCTGTGGCGTTCTATATCCGTTGAGATATTTTATTAATGGCATAATATCATTAGTACATTGTGTACTAGCGTACTTTCTCTAGTAGCTATAGGTGGGTTTACATTATCTTTAGAGAAAATGATTAGGTTCTTAGCAAAATTTCACCATTTTTTAATGCTGGATAATTAGAAGAGATAAGTGAAAAACCTCTGAACAACAGTTCGACCACATTGCGAGAATCTTGTCATGTCATGTAAGGAGAGAGTATGGCTAATAGGATTTTGAAAAATGTACACAATGTAAATGAAGAAAGTAGCAAACGAGCAAAAAATAAATTAATGGAAAAGTGAAAGAAAATGAAAATGAGCGGGACTGTAACTATTCAGCATTGAAAAATCGAGGAGGTTGTTTTCTAATCTATCGTCATTGACTGATCAATAAATTGTTTGTACGATTGATGACAAGAAGCTACTCAGTTGTAGGTATTAATGAAAATTCCTAACCAGCATGAAAGTAATGGTGATTTGCGGAGGGGGTGTGTAAAACTACAGAACGTAAGTTTTGAGAACCACTCTCTGAGCCATGGTTCCTCACCTCTGATATGGTACAGAGGTTTGAATTATTATAACCCTCTAGAACGACCTTAACTGTGTTTGACACGCATGTTCCAAAGGCGGAGGGGTTGTGCCCTCAAGACCCCTTTCACTTATCTAAACTGTTGGCGAGCCTCTGGAACTTCCAGATTACTTTCTGCTGAATAAATTATACGAGTGTGTAAATCTTGCGCTTTATAAAGACAAATTGAACCCATTCGCACGAACAAGAAACACTAGAGTAACCAACAATATGTAAAGATTTAAATCTTCAAAGATTACCGTATTTCTTTCGTTTTGCTGACTTGACTAACTTGAAGAAACGGAAAAAATGAATTTACCACATTGCTTTCCTTCTGCTCAATATTATTTTTATGAATTAAAATCAAGGATATAATTAAACACAACTAAAATTTATGAGTGCCTCCTTTCGGGGTTTTTTTCCTGTTTTTGTGATTTAATCTTGTCAATTATTTTTACCAATCACAATCATAAGCTCTTATTTTTAAAATTATATTCTTTCAACACACCACAAACCATAATGACGCAAAACCAGAGTTGTACAATGCAAGCTATTTACAACTGAATAGGAATGCCAGTGTCCCAAAATTTAAGGGAAAACTTGTAAAAAAGTTGACTTAGGGTTTGCAGTTATCGATCGTGTTACCTTTATGAATAGTCATCACTGAAATTCTGCTAGGAGGAAATATTTCAATGCCTTTGGTTTCAATTAAACAGACCCAAGTTATTTCCGATGGTTGGAAAATTTTGGTCTTTTTCGGTCAACAGCTCTCCTCCATCCAAGCATTCACTGCACGGCATGATATTGCACATTATTGTTCTTATCATATAAGCCTCAATATATGTAGAAACATTTAAATTTCCAACGAAAAAAAAATCAATGTCATAAATGGGTGTTTTTTCTAAAACTGCAGTCCAATAATGACGTCAGACTATTCCCCCCCCAATTTTTTGAGCCCCTCGACCTTTTTCCATGTAAAATACATGTCAGACGGCGTAGAGCTACCCTTGATAATTACGTCAAATTTGGGTTAACCCCCCCCCCCATATTACCCACGAACTCAGGCGATTTGCACTAGTTTCAAATGGAATTTTCTTAAGAATGAGCGCATTGCGCCGAACCTTCATTCCCCTCCCATGACCCTGACGTCATTTATGACCAACCCCTTAATCACCGTCACCTACAAAATGTGATCCGTTTATTCCGGAAGTATGGCGACGATCGAAGTGCGAGATCACGCATCCCGTTTGCAACTTGCAGACTTTTCGTCATTCCTTATTTTTTCTTAAGAAAACTAATGAGCGCAATTTCTCAAAAACCTCCTTGATTTTTCTTCTCTGTTAGCAGAATATTGTATATTTTCAAGGTGTAAACTTAGCTTGTTTCTTCTCGAAAAAAAATAGCGGAAATTTTAAAGCATTCTGGTCATCGATGAACTGCCCCCTCTCATTTTTAGACGTATGTTCGATGAAGAGTTTTGGTAATTTTTTTTTTCACTCCAAATATCCCACGAGGGATAATCTTGCGTTTTGCCCCCCCTAAAGTCCCATCCCCTCCGTCCCTAATCAAGCCAGCCCCAGATAACCGTTGTTTGAGACCATCAAACTCGGATCACCTGACCGGGAATCGAACCCGGGCTTTCCCAATCATAGATCAAGCGCTACAACCATCATACCACACACTGGAAAAAAAAGAATCTTAAATTTGCCGCCAAGAAGTATTTCTTCTTAAATCAAAAATTTTGCTGGTTAATATAAACTACTTTTTTGTTTAACCCAAGCATCATTTTTCTTGTATCAAGAAAAAATTCATCTCAAAGCAAGATAAAAAAAATTCTTGGCGGCAAATTCAAGAAGCATCATGCTTGAGCCAAGTTACTTTTTTTCAGTGCAGGAGATCGACACACATACATATAAAAATAACATAAGCTGTACGAATTCAAGGAAAATAAAAAATAATAACTTTGAAGAATAAACGTAAGGGTGTCGCTTACCTTTAGCGCCATCCTTTTTCTCAGACTCGCCGCTTCCAGTGGAGTTTTTATCATCGTTTCCGACTTTGGCCCCTTTTTTGGCCCCTCCTGTGCCTGAGGACATATTTCACATTCTGTTGGCTATCGTGATGTCTTTTCGCACGCCAAACAGAGCTTTCACGTCGTCGGCGTAGGACTGTCTTGCTTGATCATTATCACGCGCACTAATTCTCTTAGAGAACCGCACCGATTTTCGGACCGCACATTCTGATTTTAATCGGAGTTACGCGTAGGATCACGGGATAATTTAAGGAGGTAGATTCAAATCTGAGGACACATAGCATAGTATTTTTAAAAAAAACCCTTTAAAATTATGGATGGGCACTCATGGATTTTATTTCCAACAAGGAATGAGAATATTTCTGGTTCATTCTTGAAATCAATTATCTGCACAAGAATGTTTCTAAAATGAGCCGGATTTAGTGGTTCCTTTCTTGCAGAACGTTGATCAAATGATACTAGTACACTTATTGTACTATGAAAAATGAGTATTTGTTGAAAACACCGTTGTGTTTATTTGACATTTATGCCCTGCATGAGATCAATGTTATGTTGTCAGAAACACACTTATGTGTATATTACAATGCTGCTGAGTTCCGTTTGTCCATTTTAAAGCGGCTCAGGGAGACTAAGCATAACAGTGTGTTGCTCGTAACACAATGTTTTGTTGTCCGTAACATAAGAAAAGATCTCAGAACAAAATGTGTAAATAAACGCAACTAGAGATTTTTTTTTAAAAAAAAATCTCCTTTAATTATAATCCTTCAATTTCGATGACAGTTCAATTGAGGGGCTTGAAGGACAAGGCGCATAAGTGCAGTTTTTACTATTTCGAGGGATGCGTGTTGGAAGTTTCAAAATTACATGGATCCTTATGGCGGAGAGAAAGTTCAAACTTACTTTTTGATGCTTAAAAATTTGAATTCACACTGAAAAAAAAAATCTCGGTGCATTTACTAAGAAAAGGGTAAAATTACCAAGAATTCGGGGTTCTATTTGATCCCAGTTTTTTCTTCGTTAAATTACCATTTATGGAATTGGTAATTTTACCGAGAAATCTCGGTAAAATTATTGAACTTTCTCGGTAATTTTACTGGACCTTGGTAAAAACGCCAATATTTTTTATCGACTGTGGTAGAATTACCGAAATAAAATGGCAAAGTTACCGGGAATTGATTACCAATATAAGTGGTATTCTTACTTGAAAAAAAAAAACAGTAAAAATACCGGTTTTTAGGTAAGCTTACCAGTCTGTCTTTGTAAAATTACCAATAATTGGTAAAAAAAGGGAGATGGTAAAGGTACCAACGGACCGTGGTAAAAACGCCGAGAATTTTTTTTCAGTGAGGAGCGAATTTTTCACAGAATATGCATTAAAACTATTTATACTTGGAATTATTAATATCTCATTTTTTTCAAAAACTGCACTCATGTGCTTTGTCCTCCGAGCCCCTCTATTATTTTATTTATTTTTATTTTTTAAAAATTTCAAATTTGCTTGAGGTGTCGGTGAAAAAGGCCGAATATTTTGGACATCTGTCAACACGTGAGGGAAGAGGGCGGAGCGATCGGCTCGGAAGTTGGAAAACTGACGGAGACAAAGTCTGAAACTATTCGCGCTGAATGGGCACGGGGATGGAAATCGTTTAACCGTTTAACAGAAACGGAACTGGCACATGGAAATAGCGCCCAAGTCGGGGCGATATTGATCAAGGAGCTCAAAGTCTTTTCGTTTTCAGTCTGTTACGGCCATTTGTTTCGCTCTCCCGACGACTGTCGATGCCCCGATCGGGATCTGCTCCGACGATTGTCAGTTCAGTCCCTTCTCCACACTTTAAACGTCAAATCTCAATTGAAGCCATCGCCTTGCACGAAATGGGTGATAGACCACACTTCTCCGAGCGTACCCCACGGGTTTGCCAATCTTATCCGAAATTAAGGTCACCATTCACCGAATTCATGATGATTTTTCCGCCAGAGGATAATTTGGCCATTCTAAATGGTACAAATCCGCGTAAAATATACACGGTGGATCTTTGACCATCCAAGTTTTCATTTTTCGTCAAAATTCTATTAATTTTTATGTGTTTAGCGGCCATCGACAAGTTAAAATCTCCATGAGCTCGTTTTACTTAATTTTTTGGAATATGACCCTGGTTTCTTTTGGGATCTTTAGATGAGTTTTTTATCTTGATTCTTTAAATTTGACCCAGGAAGCGGGCCTGTGGGAACGCAAAGTCCTCGTTTTGGGAAGGGGGGGGAGGGGGTTGGGCCACGCAACAACCAGATTGCATGCCCCCTATAGTATTCATTTATGACTTACGATCAGTTAGGGTTTTCGAAAATAACCGATAACTCTCTTTTTAGCACAATGAAACCAAACGAGGTGTCTACATCAATGATAAAGCTCACGCCATGAGAAAAAAGTAAAGAACGGCTTTTAATTACTAATTCTAATGATTAGGCATCCACAAGGAGCTTAAGCTCAGGAAACTAACAGCCTATGCATCAATGAGTGTCATCAATTTCAGTGGTCATTTGATTTCAGTCAATAACAAAGGCTAAGAACATGAGGGCTGTATCAACTATTTTCGGAGTTTTCAGACTTTTTTTAAATTTAAAAGTAGAATATATGTATTGCAGAAGTATTATGCTTTGGAGAGGTTACGGAGGAGAGACAAAAGGAGCAGACTTTGAAGGAAAAGTATATTCCGACGCTTCAACCTCAAAAGTAACGGTCAAATTACAGACTGAATAGACTAATGTCAAGGTTACGAGAATATCCGTTAGCGGAAGAAATCATCATTATTCTTACATTATACTACACTCGGCCATTTGAATTATTCCAGTCAATAACAATAATGCAGAAGAAGGGAGGAGGGCCAGCGATAAGAAAATTCGAAATTTATTTGTGATGGAAAGTATCACACATGTGATGTTAAGCCGTTTATTAGACGTGGATTAGTTAGATTTTAACTAGTAGTAGTAACAATTATATAATAATTAGACCACAGGTGATCTCCGATGTAATTTAAACGACGAAGAAATGTTGTATCTATGAATTAAAGTCCCTACAACTCAAAACTGTAGAATTCCTATCGATGCTCGATGCCCTCTCTCCTAGTTCAACTCATTCCAACCCGACATGATAACTTAGATGTTTTTGAAAAATTGAAGCAAATTACGAAAAAGTTTCTCTAGTCAAAATCAAGTCAACAATTGTTTTTAAAGTAGCCTGAATAATTCGCCAACACCTCCTTTACCCGGAGAATCTGAGAAAAATGCCCTAGCCGATTTACTACAGGTAGAAAAAGCTACAAATCTATATATATTCACAGAGATTGAAGCAATCACTCGAGGACAGCTGAGGCCATCGAGCAAGCTCTCTGCTAATCTCGATCGCCTTCATCTGACGATATAGGCAAAATGGGGCACAGCGAGTTTGAATAGTGGTATGTGCGACTGATATAAAAACTAATGGATTATACTACTACTATTACTAGTGATTATTGTTGTTTGAGAGTCGCAGTGAACTGCGCAATGGTGGAATGTGCAACATTTTGTTGCTCATGTTTAAATTACATGGAGGAGCTACAAAACAGACATGTCCAATACCGTATCTTAACTTATTCGGTCTTGCTTCTAAAAATTAAAATGCCGATTTATAAGACATGTCAATTTACGGAAAGTGACATCTCAACACAATGATGACCGCTCATGCTGATCCAAAACAATGAAAATAAAATCAAGGTTTCTGGCTCATTTTATGAGCTTGAGATAGTTCATCCTTGATTTAAGTCTCATTTAAAGAGGTTAAGTTATGCATCTTGTATGACTAATATTTGAGGAAGAAGAAGAAAAAGGTTTAATTGTATCTTCCTCAGATAAAGGTCTCAAGTTGAGAGACCAAAAAGATAGGTCTGAGTACTAATCAGTGCCCTTTAGTACTATTTTTTCTGAAATGTTTCAAGAGAGTTCATATCAATGTTTACATTTCATTCCATAGAATAGGCTACGGTGCAATTTGTTGTCGATGCAGGTACTTTGTAATTACACATTGTATAGAATGCATACTGGGTAATTTTAGCAGTCCGTTGATCATAACAGTCGGCTTTTGTAAAACTATTAATCGTTCGAGGACATAATTTGGGGAAGAGGGTGTAGATAGACTCGAAGGACTTGAAAATATTATCTCTTTAGAATGACCTTAGGATGGATCCGTAAATTTTAGTAAGTTAATGTACGGTTTCTGGTGTTTTCCCCTGACCCAAAGGATTTTCCCCCTTGCGTCAAGAGTCTTCTGCTCTCACTGCAAAGCTCGTGAATGTGACTCCCTCAAAAGTTCAGTTAAATCACTTACTCAGTCCCTAAAATTCTTGAAATGAATTTACTGTTTGCGTGTGCTAAAAACTCTTAAAATAATTTAAAAACTCTCAAAAATTGCTAATATGAACTCTACGCCTAAATTTCTGAAAATTTCGAAAACACGGACAATGTCTAACTTGAGTGACATTAGTTTCAACTGTGTTCATTTTCCAGATAAAATCACGAACTTCAATTACATGATTCTTTGCATCATTTATGCATTTTTAACTCTTCAAGGGGGTTAAAAGCTCTTTCAAAAGCTGCCTAGGTATGTGCTGTTTGCGTTCGTTGAACCGGAGACAGCTAACCAGAAGACCCTGGTAAAAATTGGCGATAAGAGTTGCGTTTCAAAATACCATAGGAATTCTTATAGCCGGCTAAAGAAATCTACAGAAAATCATATAGCTGGCTGTAGAATGCGGAGAAAATCATACGGCCGGGCTATACGATGCGATAAAAAATTCTGCAGCCGGGCTATAGTTCCTATCGCCGGGCTTTACACGTTATCGCCTGGCTGTTGCTTTTTCGCCATCAATTATAGAAGGAAAAATTATTATAAGAAATTGTATAGAAATTCGTGTGCTTTGGAAATCATTAAGTTTGATACGGAACCACCTTAATATTTACAAAACACACATTATATTTTCCTTTAATACATGTTTTTTTTCATCAATTAAAATGAGAATAATCCATATAGGATANTTATAAGACGTCACAGACACCATTACACGCACGTTGCTAAGACCACCCACGTGCTAAGGGACGAAGAAGTGGCTGCTTATTCGGTTCAATGTTAAGACCGAGTCTAATTTACGCGAGGTTAATTGTATATGAGTATTTTGCGTGTTCTCCCCGAGCAGTTTGTAGCCTAGACGGTATGATCGGCTGATCGTTAA